AGAAGAAAACGTGTAGTTGGAGTTTGATCGCACTTAGTAAATTTCCAAAGGCGTAAGCGGCCTTCCGTACAGACCTTCTCTGTTTATGAGTGTTTACACAATTAAAATGATTTCAAAAACATTTTATTTATTTTCTTTTCGGCACATTATTATTATTACGTACTTAAAGCTTGAGCTCATTGATGTGAATTCACCTAGCAGATCTGTCAAGTTGGTTGTCTGCCCCTGTCCTCCTGACTGGGTCAGAGGTGCGACGTCCGCCTGTAACAAGAGCAGACTTGCTACTGTTCAATGCCGGCACGCCAAACCCGGCTCAGCAAACACCTTTGCCTTGCTGGAACTGTCTGGCCTTGTACTTGATGTCTGGCGTCTTGACAGTAAACTCGCAAGGCGGCGGCTCGAATGAATGAGATCAATGTCTTGGTGGTGGGGAAACCAAGATCTCCCCATGGAAAGGGGGGGGGGGTGCCCGATCACCATGGTGCCAGTGGGAAGGATGATGAACTCGCAGGTGGAAGCGGTAGCAGGTAACGATCACACTGGAAGGGTATCACATGATATTTTCCTCCTTTTCGATTGGTTGATTAGAATATGTGTGCGCAGCTATCACTGTAGTACAGTGCAGGCCGCTTAAGGCGATTCTGGTGTGGCGAATTTTTGTTGTAAAGAACAATTTGTTTACCTGAAGCAATTGTTCTTGTTTGAACTCTTATCTGCAAAAGAGGAATTTGTAATAAGAAGAACCATATCTGAGGTCCCCAGGGAGTTTTTCTTTCCAGATCTCCACAGTATTGGTAGTATCTTGTAACTGGTAGCTTTCACACGGTACATTTTCCATATGAATGACGTCATCATGAGACGATCCGTAGACCGAGTTGCGTATTTGTATTCAATAGTGAACCGCAAAAATAAATAATAAAATAATTATTCTTCAGCAGTGGGATTACATGCAAGCCTAACCACCGAGTGTTGACGCTAGCATTGTGTAAGGTGACCTTAGATTGATCCGCCATTCTCTTATGTACTTGAACAAAAATAGTTCCTGATTAAAAGCGACGGGCTGCTTGCTTGTTTTTTAGAGCTGTCAATCAATATCTGACTTTCCTTCGAAGTCGGAGTACAGCTGCCCATGAGGCAGGGAACAACAAAACGGTTGCACACTGTCACAACCCTGTGAGTACAGTCAGTGGTGGAATGTACCACACCGTAAGGTGTGCGTGTTGAGGTGACACCCCAGGGTTGACACAAAGGTCAGGGCCGTGACTGGGCAAGTCCGTTCTGTGATTGCACAGCGAAAACCAGCGCTCAGGATAAAGCAAGAAAGAGAGTGAACCGTGTTGTGGGACAAATCCGCAACACGATTACGGCTTTGGGACTGAGTTGGTGAACGGGGTCAAGAGGACACGAGGGAGAGAAGGACAGGACATTCGGTGTGCGTTCGGTCAGGGGAAGAGAGGACGTTTTAGCAAGGACAGTTATAGTATTAAAGTTAGGATATATTTTTGTTAGTGACTGGATAGTTTATGTACAGTTTTGTGTTAGGATAGTATAGTTCTTGTGTAGAGTATTTATGTATATGTGCTGTGAGAGAGTGGCTAACCATGACACTCTGACCCTGCACTAAGACAGAGACTGTGACAGTTTGATTGGGTCAGTGTGGCGATAGAAAAGAACGTATCTCGCCGGGCTGTGGTTTGTACACCATGAGGTTGCCTGTAGCACGTACTGGGGGACGAGGTGATTGTAAAGCCCGTTCAGCCAGAGGGTCCAGGCAATAGGTGGCCACACAGCGGGAAGTCAACTGTCTATGAATTACCTGTACTTCCAATAAAGATTGTCGTGTGTGCTCTGTGTGCGTTCGGGTTCAGTGTGTGTTAAAGGTTGGTCTGTCTGTCATAGGCCCATTTACGAGCCACGGACCAGCAAGGTCATACCAGAGGTCTGTGACATACACGCAAAACTCAGGTCCAGATAAAAGCCAAAAGTCCAAGCGGACGATTAACCATGACCTTCCGCCGGAATGCACAGCCGGTGAACGAAGAAGAAGGAAGAAGAATATCTGACTCTCCTCCCCTATCCCCCCACAGCGAGTGCCTTTCCCCGTGTCTACACATGAGGGCATTAGTTGGTGGTTCGGACTGTTGGTGGTCAATTCCTGACTGAATCAGAGAGGGGTGGGTGCTGATACGAGATGTTTGGAGAAGAGACTAGTCAACATGTTCACTGCGTGAAACTGAGGCGGTACAGTTACGGGGCAACCACATCAACGGAAACGCGACGACACGTACGGAGGTCATGCTGCAAGGGACACTACCACATTAATACTATAAACAAAGAGCGCTGTCGTTGTCTCCCTTGAAATGCTAACGTCTCACGTGAGATATACGGTACATTTTGTTGCCAGCTTGCTTGAGTTGCTGCAACGATCTACCCAACAATGTATGGCGAAGAAACATTTTGTTGCAAGCTTGCTTGAGTTGCTGCAACGATCTACCCAACGATGCAGGGCGAAGAAACAAGGTTACAACACAGGATCATATCTATCGGCCATCAGTCTCTATCCCAAAAGTTATTTGTGTGAGGTGACATCTGAGATTTGGTCTTGATATGAGCTGACACAACCTGGTGTAAGGTGACATAACCTTGTGTAAGCTGACATAACCTGGTGTAGGGTGACATAACCTGGTGTAAGCAGACATAACCTGGTGTGAGCTGACAAGCTGGTGTAAGCTGACATAGAGTGGTGTAAGATAGCAATAAAACACAATTCATTTTTTCAAAATAACATCAACAGTTTTATTATCAACACACATGAGAGTTGCACCACACACACACAAGAACACACACAATATCAGAAATCTTCAAACACACCTTGATCCCATACACATGTGCCCTAGCTACCCCCCCCCCCCCCCCCCCCAACACACACACACACACACACACACATTGATGTCTGCTATACCAACTCCCCACAGTTGCTGATGACCACTTTCTGTGTTGGCTTGCCTCCTTTGGTCCCCACCGCCTGGACAACAGAAACAAACAGTTACCATTTCTCTGGGATAAGTCAACAAACCACCGCCTGGACAACAGAAACAAACAGTTATCATTTCTCTGGGATAAGACAACAAACCACCGCCTGGACAACAGAAACAAACAGTTATCATTTCTCTGGGATAAGACAACAAACCACCGCCTGGACAACAGAAACAAACAGTTATCATTTCTCTGGGATAAGACAACAAACCACCGCCTGGACAACAGAAACAAACAGTTATCATTTCTCTGGGATAAGACAACAAACCACCGCCTGGACAACAAAAACAAACAGTTATCATTTCTCTGGGATAAGACAACAAACTGCATATTTCCCCGTGTGGGTTCTGGTGCCACATTGTGGGAAAAACAAGAAAAGACACCTGTTCCCCTCCCCCCGCTTCAGAATCCCCAGAGAAAACAGAAACCCATGGATGTGGTCAACATTCAATCAAACACCAAACAACCTAGAAAACAGTCTAGAAAACAGTCTAGAAAACAGTCTAGAAGTCAAGTGGCATGTCCCCAATGTGCCAGAATGGCAGGACACAGGCTCTTGTATCTGCTATCTTACAATTTACAATAAAGGCTCAACACTTAAATAAATAAAATCAAATGTGATCTGTCATCAAAACTATCTTCTGATCTACTGGTCAACCTTGTAGCCAAACCTGCCTCATATTCTCACCAATTGCCCAAGTTAACAAATCACAGCCATTGTATGCATCCTGATTCTTCAAGTGACACGGATTCTGGTAGAAAGCTGCATTTATTCTGACAAGTGTGTTTGTGTACTGCTTTGTGCTCACAGCAACTCTAGACATTTTTTTTCAGAAATCTGGTCACTGTCTACAACAGGTGGCCTCTCCTTAGATAATAAACAAATGCTGCCCATGTCCATCTGATAACCGAGGTAAACCTCCCATGTCTGTCTGATAACCGAGGTAAACCTCCCATGTCTGACCGATAACCGAGGTAAACCTCCCATGTCTGTCTGATAACTGAGGTAAACCTCCCATGTCTGTCTGATAACCGAGGTAAACCTCCCATGTCTGTCTGATAACCGAGGTAAACCTCCCATGTCTGTCTGATAACTTAGGTAAACCTCCCATGCATGTCCGATAACTGAGGTAAACCTCCCATGCATGTCTGATAACTGAGGTAAACTGTCCATGTCTGTCTGATAAATGAGGTAATCTTCCCATGTCTGTCTGATAACTGAGGTAAACCTCCCATGTCTGTCCAATAACTGAGGTAAACCTCCCATGTCTGTCTGATAACTGAGGTAAACCTCCCATGTCTGTCCGATAACTGAGGTAAACCTCCCATGTCTGTCCGATAACTGAGGTAAACCTACTGTGTTCATCTGATAACTGAGATATACCTTCTGTGTCCATCTGATAAATGAGATAAACCTCCCTTCTCAAAACAACTTAGACCATTTAGCTGTCCACTACTCTATGGGAAACCAGAGATGTTAAGTGTCCACAGGTTCAGCAATGATGTTTACATCATTATATGTATTCTCACTGTTCAAATCTATCATCGTTATTCTGGGAAACCAGCCAGTGTTGAAACACAATGCCTGCCCATGTAAGCTGCATGACATTATTCTGGGAAAACAGCCAGTTTTGAAACACAATGCCTGCCCATGTAAGCTGCATGACATTATTCTGGGAAAACAAAATGGACCCACTGCCACTCCAACAAACAAACAAAGTTCACCATACAAGTTGATTAATGAGTGGTGTTTCCTTCAAAGTCAAAGTGCACCTGCCAGAGAGGCAAGGAACCAACAGACTGCATACAAATAAGCCACATCTGTAAAACGGATATGCATGCATGTTCAAGTTCTGGAACAAGACACAAAAAAGTCCAAAAGTGGACAAATAACTGGAACTCTCCACCAGTCGATTGCTAGTGAATACAGAACAGTAGTAGAAGACAGGACAATGTGCTGAACATTATTGACCAGGCCATGTGACCAGATGAAACGGGCACCTTACCTCTATCTTCCTGACCACATCCATGCCGTCGACGACCTTGCCGAACACCACGTGTTTGCCGTCCAGCCTGGGGATGGAGCAATACAGCCAGTTAGGTTTCTTACTGTAGTTACAAGGGACTAATAGAGCAATGTCTTATTTAACAACATTCTGACAGTTATAACCAGACAGTCTTACAGTTAAACCAATCTTACAGGTTACATCCAGATAGTCTGACAGTTACATCCAGATAGTCTGACAGTTACATCCAGATAGTCTGACTGTTACAACCAGATAGTATTACAGTTACATCCAGATAGGCTGACAGTTACAGCCAGACAGTCTGACAGTTACATCCAGATAGTCTGACAGTTACATCCAGATAGTCTGACAGTTACAGTCAGATAGTATGACAGTTACATCCAGATAGGCTGACAGTTACATCCAGATAGTCTGACAGTTACAACCAGATAGTCTGACAGTTATATCCAGATTGACAGTTATATCCAGATAGTCTGACAGTTACATCCAAATAGTCTTACAGTTACAACCAGATAGTCTGACAGTTACATCCAGATTGACAGTTACAGCTAGATAATCTGACAGTTACATCCATATAGTCTTACAGTTACATCCAGATAGGCTGACAGTTACAGCCAGACAGTCTGACAGTTACATCCAGATAGTCTGACAGTTACATCCAGATAGTCTGACAGTTACAGTCAGATAGTATGACAGTTACATCCAGATAGGCTGACAGTTACATCCAGATAGTCTGACAGTTACAACCAGATAGTCTGACAGTTATATCCAGATTGACAGTTATATCCAGATAGTCTGACAGTTACATCCAAATAGTCTTACAGTTACAACCAGATAGTCTGACAGTTACATCCAGATTGACAGTTACAGCTAGATAATCTGACAGTTACATCCATATAGTCTTACAGTTACAACCAGATAGTCTGACAGTTACATCCAGATTGACAGTTACAGCCAGAAAGTCTGACAGTTACATCCAGATAGTCTGACAGTTACAGTCAGATAGTCTGACAGTTACATCCAGATAGGCTGACAGTTACAGCCAGATAGTCTGACAGTTACATCCAGATAGGCTGACAGTTACAGCCAGATAGTCTGACAGTTACATCCAGATTGACAGTTACATCCAGATTGACAGTTACAGCCAGATAGTCTGAGAATTACATCCAGATTGACAGTTACAGCCAGATAGTCTGAGAGTTACATCCAGAAACTAAAGTCTCACACAGTAGTCGTCCACACCAAAGACAACAACAACAACAAAGCTATAAAAGACATATAAAGAAACCAGTAGACTGAGACATATAAAGAAACCAGTAGACTGTGTTTATCACCAACACTCCCAAACATCATTTACAATAAGAAGCTGTCTTCCATAACTGAAGCTACAAAAGTTAAAGAACCAAATATTTACAATCATCAAAAACAATAAACTGCAAATAATACCCCCCCCCCCCCCCCCAAATAGCTGTCATTAAAAATAATCAGGCAAAAATACAGTATACAACATGCAGAAACAAAGTTTCATTCGAGATGACTACAACAACTGACCAGTCTGTTTTCTCTGTTGTTAAGAAGAACTGGGATCCGTTTGTGTTGGGTCCAGAGTTGGCCATAGACAGGATCCCTGAAACATGGACAAGATAGGAGATAATCCAGCAAATATCAATCAAGTTAATGTACCATAGAGCAGAGCTGCCTGGCTCACTGGTAGACTCAACAGGTGATGGACTGACTGAAGCGTCAACAGGTGATGGACTGACTAAAGCGTCAACAGGTGATGCACTGACTGAAGCGTCAACAGGTGATGGACTGACTGAAGTGTCAACAGGTGATGGACTGATTGAAGCGTCAACAGGTGATGGACTGACTGAAGCATCAACAGGTGATGGACTGATTGAAGCGTCAACAGGTGATGGACTGACTGAAGCGTCAACAGGTGATAGACTGACTGAAGCGTCAAAAGGTGATGGACTGACTGAAGCATCAACAGGTGACTGACTGACTGAAGCGTCAACAGGTGATGGACTGACTAAAGCGTCAACAGGTGATGGACTAATTGAAGTGTCAACAGGTGATAGACTGACTGAAGCGTCAACAGGTGATGGACTGACTGAAGCGCCAACAGGTGATGGACTGACTGAAGCGTCAACAGGTGATTGACTGACTGAAGCATCAACAGGTGATGGACTGACTGAAGCATCAACAGGTGACTGACAGACTGAAGCATCAACAGGTGATGGACTGACTGAAGCATCAACAGGAGACTGACAGACTGAAGCGTCAACAGGAGACAGACTGTAGAGCATTCACACAAGTTTAGAGTACAGGCCAACACCGAGCAGACATTCTGAGTGCCCCTTAAAACAGCATCTGGTACACTGTGTTGTATTTACAGCTGGTACACTGTGTTGTATTTACAGCTGGTACACTGTGTTGTATTTACAGCTGGTACACTGTGTTGTATTTACAGCTGGTATACTGTGTTGTATTTACAGCTGGTACACTGTGTTGTATTTACAGCTGGTATACTGTGTTGTATTTACAGCTGGTACACTGTGTTGTATGTACAGCTGGTACATTGTGTTGTATTTACAGCTGGTACACTGTGTTGTATTTACAGCTGGTACACTGTGTTGTATTTACAGCTGGTACACTGTGTTGTATTTACAGCTGGTACATTGTGTTGTATTTACAGCTGGTACACTGTGTTGTTGTACAGCTTATACTGTGTTGTATTTACAGCTGGTATACTGTGTTGTATTTACAGCTGGTACACTGTGTTGTATTTACAGCTGGTACACTGTGTTGTATTTACAGCTGGTACACTGTGTTGAGGTTTACAGCTGCTAACTTCCCTTTACCTGTATTTACCACTTCTGCAGAATTTTATTTCTGCCCGACAGGAAAACAATCCCCAACCTCACCAATGTTTTGAACCCAGGTTTTCTGCTTGAGAGCCCAGCATTCTAACCGCTCAGCCAGCCATACCTCTGCAGTTTACAGCAAGCCTGCGATATCTGCACTTTTCAGCCCAACATATATGATTTCAACAAACTTTATAATTGTTACAACAAGCATGTTAGCAAACAGTGTGTCTGCCATACCCCCCTCCTTTTTTTAACCCTCTTTTTTTTTGGGGGGGGGGGGGGGAGGGCCTGGAAACCAAATGGTGATTTTCCAGACAACTTTAGGTTTGGGTTTTCACTAATCTGACAACTGTAGAGTGTAAAGAGTGTAGGCCAAGTCTGACCAAAACACTTTAGAGTGTATGCCTAGACTGAACAGACAACTTTATAGTTTGAATATACCATACAACATTAACCAAATAGCGTGTGTGTGTTTTTGAGTGTATTAGACAAGAATTACCTAAGAGTGTAAGTATGTGTGAGTGTATCAGGCAACACTTACCTGTAGCTGTGTGTTTGAGACAAGAATTACCTAAGAGTCTGTGTGTCTGAGTGTATTAGACAAGAATTACCTAAGAGTCTGTGTGTCTGAGTGTATTAGACAAGATTTACCTAAGAGTCTGTGTGTGTAAGTGTATTAGACAAGAATTACCTAAGAGTCTGTGTGTCTGAGTGTATTAGACAAGAATTACCTAAGAGTCTGTGTGTCTGAGTGTATTAGACAAGAATTACCTAAGAGTCTGTGTGTCTGAGTGTATTAGACAAGAATTACCTAAGAGTCTGTGTGTCTGAGTGTATTAGACAAGATTTACCTAAGAGTCTGTGTGTCTGAGTGTATTAGACAAGATTTACCTAAGAGTCCGAGTGTATTAGACAAGATTTACCTAAGAGTCTGTGTGTCTGAGTGTATTAGACAAGATTTACCTAAGAGTCCGAGTGTATTAGACAAGATTTACCTAAGAGTCCGAGTGTATTAGACAAGATTTACCTAAGAGTCCGAGTGTATTAGACAAGATTTACCTAAGAGTCCGAGTGTATTAGACAAGATTTACCTAAGAGTCCGAGTGTATTAGACAAGATTTACCTAAGAGTCCGAGTGTATTAGACAAGATTTACCTAAGAGTCTGAGTGTATTAGACAAGATTTACCTAAGAGTGTGTCTGCGAGTGTATCAGGCAACACTTACCTGGAGCTGTGTGTTTGAGCGTGAAATTCTCGTCCTCAAACTTGTGTCCATATATGCTCTTGCCACCGGTCCCGTTGTGATTGGTGAAATCTCCACCTTGACACATCTTCTAGGGTTAAGGTCATTTAATGGTCACAGGGAAAGGAGGAGGTAGGAAAGGAGTCCCTAAAAAAATCAGGAAATGTGATCTACTCACCTAGTGAGTTGACAAAAGCCGAAACAACAACAACTGACGTAATGGTCTGTCTATACTGCAATTGTGTTCCATTCACAATTTTCACAAATGATTTGTTGCCTCGATAGTTGGTTGCCTAGCTGGTTTGCTGCCAAGTACGTTAGTTGTCTAGTTGGTTGGTTGTCTAGTTGGTCAGTTGTATGTAACTGTGTATGGATGGAGTTATATGAGTATGTGGGGGTGGGTGTGGCTATATAGTGATAGTGTGTGATTATGTTTTTGTGTAAGTATGAGATTGTATTGGTATGTAAGGGTGGCTGGCTGCTGAAGATGAGGACAGAGCGCTAATGGGAAAGCCCAGCGTGCCAGGATGTCAAATTTTGACTCAACTTATATAACTTAATACAGTATCTGCCTTATGCCTACCATGTCCCTCCTCTTGTTACTGTTGTTTGGTCATTTTTAGAATCCTCTATTCTACTTTTAATTGCGCCTAATAATCATCACATTGATTGCTGCATTCTTCTCCGTGATGAAGCGGTTAAGCGATCTACCTCTTGCTCTGAAAGTCGCTGGTTAGGGTCCGGACTTGGTCCACAACAGCAGATGCTTTGAAGATTCCCAGTGACTTGGTTGGAGCTACAGCTGTGTGTTTTGGGCAGTGCTTTCCAGTGGGTGTTCAACTGCCCTGCAAACAACACGTTGAGCCACAAGGAATCAAACCTGATGCGGTGATATCGGTCCTTACATCTACTCCTACAGCAGCAGACAGGAAGGCTAATGCACAACCACACAGGTCAAAAGCTTAGCAGTTAAGGATACAAACTGAGGGATAATTCTGTGAAATGAAGAACCCTTGTAGCCGAAGCCTTTCTCGTGTGTGCACAAACATCGGAAATTCTCTGTAAGATACAGAAATAGGAGTTAGTGGCCTTTAACCTGAGAATATGTTCTAGCATTTTCCTACAAATCAAGGTATAAACAACTGGCAATCAATCATGGCCAACTACAAACACAGGGTTACCGAGCAGACGATACTTGACCTATAGTGTTATCTGCACTAAGTGTGCCGTGTGATCAGTGCCACACCATCCATCTTGACTATCCAGGGCAACTTCCTGCTTTTTTAAGTTGCATCAATCTGAAAGCCCAGATCCATGAAACAATTCACTGCCTTGAAGTGGATTCAAACATATGATCTTCGAGCTGATAGGCCAGTTTGTTAGCCACTGTTCCACCACTGCTTGGGTCACTAGCCACAGTATTATCAATCATGGCTAATCTGATTTGTCACAGATTTAAAGCTGAGTAATGTCTGCCAGATGGAGACTGGTACAACTCTGTCCTGGCTTTAGATGGAGACTGGTACAACTCTGTCCTGGCTCTAGATGGAGACTGGTACAACTCTGTCCTGGCTGTAATCTATGTTCCTGGGACTGATGAATCTAACCAGCCACATCAGAACAGACCCTGACAGTGACAAGTGACAGTGACAGTATTTTCCTATTTGTGGATGGTGGACAGATTTCACTCAGCTGTTAGGGATAACTGAGGTGATGACTAGAACTGTCATGCAATGCCAAACAATAACAACTTAGTTATTGTGAAATAATGAACAATAAACTGCTTCTTCTTGTTGAGCGATCTCTGGTCATGAACTTCATCCACTATAGGCTATATGGATGTCAGTTGAAGGTCTCTCATGCTTCCCTAAAGCTTAATTGTCAGGTCTACTGGGTGTGGCCATATACAGGTCATCCAGGAGAGGACAGTCTTGTAAGTTGTAAGCTAGGGATTCTTCAGCATCAACACAAAACAGAGTAGGCAGCATGATAACAGAAAGACACATACAGATAAAACAAACATTTTAGAAAGGCACATACAGATAAAACATTCTCAAATGGCACACATAGATAAAACAAACATTTTAGAAAGGCACACATAGATAAAACAAACATTTCAGAAGGGCACATACAGATAAAATAAATATTTTAACCAAATCATTTTCTGGAGCAAAACAAAATACAATAACAAAATTAAATTTTAAAATTAAATAAATAAACTGACAAATTAATTGGAAAATTCATAAAACAGTAATGCGTTTTTAGTTTGATGATATAACACTTCACCCAAATATTTTTGTTAAACACTTCACCCAAATATTTTTATCTGTATATTTCTTTCTGTTGACAAGCTTCGTCACATTTTATATTGATTTGTTTTGTTTATCAGCTCAGGTCTCAGCAAATGTCTGCACATGTGCTCAATACTCAAGTCTCCCCACATGTCTGCAGCTGTACTCAAGTCTCCCCAAATGTCTGCAGCTGTACTCAAGTATCCCCAAATGTCTGCAGCTGTACTCAAGTATCCCCAAATGTCTGCAGCTGTACTCAAGTATCCCCAAATGTCTGCAGCTGTACTCAAGTATCCCCAAATGTCTGCAGCTGTACTCAAGTCTCCCCCAAATGTCTGCAGCTGTACTCAAGTCTCCCCAAATGTCTGCAGCTGTACTCAAGTCTCCCCAAATGTCTGCAGCTGTACTCAAGTCTCCCTAAATGTCTGCAGCTGTATTCAAGTCTCCCCAAATGTCTGCAGCTGTACTCAAGTATCCCCAAATGTCTGCAGCTGTACTCAAGTCTGGCCAAATGTCTGCAGCTATACTCAAGTCTCCCCACATGTCTGCAGCTGTACTCAAGTCTCCCCACATGTCTGCAGCTGTTTTTAAGTCTCCCCAAATGTCTGCTGCTGTATTTAAGTCTCCCCAAATGTCTGCAGTTGTACTCAAGTCTCCCCAAATGTCTGCTGCTGTATTCAAGTCCCCCCACATGCCTGCAGCCCTAAAGCAGTAGCAGAGATGAGTGTGTCCCTGTTCTGAAAACTTGGAATTGAGACAACGCTGATATGGACTATACAAACAACCACTCTAACCTGCTGTTCTAGGAACTACGTCTGCTCTCAGCTCAATGACAATCCTCCCCAAATCCCGACTGCCAAGTTTGATATCCATAAAAACTTGTGGGTTGCTGCTAGTCTTTGGCTTTTTGGCAGGCGCTGGCTCATCCTGGAGAAAGGACCAATGTTGACACATAAACAACAAGCATGATTCATGATTCCAACAATTTGTCAGCTAGCTAAGATAATTACCTTCTTAGAGGATGCCCAAGGAAACAATAAATACTTCCATTTAGCATAACTACATATCTTGTTCTTCACCTGCCATGTACCCCCCTGTAGAGCATAGGCCCTCAATCAACTTCCTCAAGTGGTCCTATTCATTGCTATCATGATCAACCCACAGCCGCGACAACACTGTACAGGCTTCTTCCTATGGAAAAGAGGAACTCCCCCTACACCCCAGGCTTCATTGGTACCAATACGGAATGTGATCCCCATACCTCTCTATAGCACAGTGGAACATCCCCATACCTCTCTATAGCACAGTGGAACATCCCCATAACTCTCTATAGCACAGTGGAACATCCCCATACCTCTCTATAGCACAGTGGAACATCCTCATACCTCTCTATAGCACAGTGGAACATCCCTATTCCTCTCTATAGCACAGTGGAACATCCCCATATTTCTCTATAGCACAGTGGAACATCCCCATACCTCTCTATAGCACAGTGGAACATCCCCCTACCTATCTATAGCACAGTGGAAGAAGAAGAAAAAGACAATGGAACATTAACGTCTGGACAGAAGGACAGGTGCCAACATTTACAGCTCAATCCATGTCCTGCCCAAGCTCCATCCATGTCCTGCCCAAGTTCCATCCATGTCCTGCCCAAGCTCCATCCATGTCCTGCCTAAGCTCCATCCATCTCCTGCCCAAGCTCCATCCATGTCCTGCCCAAGCTCCATCCATGTCCTGCCCAAGCTCCATCCATGTCCTGCCCAAGCTCCATCCATGTCCTGCCCAAGTTCCATCCATGTCCTGCCCAAGTTCCATCCATGTCCTGCCCAAGTTCCATCCATGTCCTGCCCAAGTTCCATCCATGTCCTGCCCAAGTTCCATCCATGTCCTGCAGAAGCTCCATCCATGTCCTGCCTAAATCTTGCTCATAAACACATTCAGAGATGAAGGAAGAATATATTAACTTTTTCCATAATAACCTACATAGCATATTTTATCTGGTTGTCCCACACTTCCGATAATTTTCTTCCCTCATCCTGTCACAGACACTAACTGTATAAACCCACTTCAACCCAGCTGGGTTAATGCTCTCTCATGTTACCATAATCCCTTCTAGAGCGCAGTGTCTATTACACTACAAGAGAATCCACTTCACCCAGCCGCCTCATAGTGCTATCACACGTTTATTTGTCTAAATTGAAATAATGAGCTATTAACACAACTTTCATGTTCATTCTCACCTTAGTCTTTCATAGTTTGATACATTACCTGCTATAAAATAAATGGAGTACCAGTCCTCACCTGGACGTCTTCACTAGTTTTTTCCTCCGTCTTGTTTTCAGTGCCACCATCTTCGTCTTGCTTGTCCTGCAAAGTTTCTCCGGCATGCTGCTGCAGCCAGGTATCCTCCGCCCACACTGTTGTCAGACAGACAGAAAGTACAGCAAACATTCATCAGTATAACTTTCAGAGCTGAAACCATAAAGCAGTTTGGGCTTTTAACCAATTCAGCTCAGTAAATGAAGGGTGATTGTTGTGGATCTCTATGCTCCACAAAATGGAAAAGAGCTGGACTTGGCTGAGGTTTCAGCTTCGCTGTAATCAGGTTTCCCGTACTTGCTCTGTTCGGGCAGGGCTGGGCTTGTACCAGTGCATGTTAGAAGAACAAAACTAATCTGCTTGTTGGCAGGGCTACTGAGGAGAGTGGATCAGCAATGGGTCAGGCTGCAGACTGAATGGTCTTAGTCAGCTAAGATGGTTAAATGAAGCAAGTGACAACGATTCAAAGTTACTCTAAGTCAAATACTGATAACAGAGGCCAAAGAGGCTGAAATGGATTCCATCCAAGATAGTGAGACAACTGCACAGGACAGAATGGACTTAAGTGACACATAATGACATAACAAGATGATGGTGATTTATATTCAACCTCAACCTTGACCAGACTACAAGAACAGTCAAGTCAACAGATCTTAAACCTTGACCAGACTACAAGAACAGTCAAAAGATCTGAAACCTTGACCAGACTACAAGAACAGTCAAATCAAAAGATCTGAAACCTTGACCAGACTACAAGAACAGTCAAGTCAAAGTAGGTGAAACTTTGACCAGACTGTAAGTAAGAAGAGCTGAAACAAGATAAGAGTGCTATAAAGACAAAGAAGAATAAGTAAGTAGCACAGAATGGATACTAGAAGTAAAAACACTCTCAGGGACTGACTGATGGGTGGATGTGAGCATTAATGGACCATTGGCTCACTGTACACTGAGAGTGATAAAACAAACTAGCCCGCCAGGTGAACTTTACTGAGTGGATCTGAACATTCATGGACCATTGGCTCACTGTACACTGAGAGTGATAAAACAACTAACTAGCCAGGTGAACTTTACTGAGTGGATCTGAACATTCATGGACCATTGGCTCACTGTACACTGAGAGTGATAAAACAACTAACTAGCCAAGTGAACTTTACTGAGTGGATCTGAACATTCATGGACCATTGGCTCACTGTACACTGAGAGTGATAAAACAACTAACTTGCCCGCCAGGTGAACTTTACTGAGTGGATCTGAACATTCATGGACCATTGGCTCACTGTACACTGAGAGTGATAAAACAACTAACTAGCCAGGTGAACTTTACTGAGTGGATCTGAACATTCATGGACCATTGGCTCACTGTACACTGAGAGTGATAAAACAACTAACTAGCCAGGTGAACTTTACTGAGTGGATCTGAACATTCATGGACCATTGGCTCACTGTACACTGAGAGTGATAAAACAACTAACTTGCCCGCCAAGTGAACTTTACTGAGTGGATCTGAACATTCATGGACCATTGGCTCACTGTACACTGAGAGTGATAAAACAACTAACTAGCCAGGTGAACTTTACTGAGTGGATCTGAACATTCATGGACCATTGGCTCACTGTACACTGAGAGTGATAAAACAACTAACTTGCCCGCCAGGTGAACTTTACTGAGTGGATCTGAACATTCATGGACCATTGGCTCACTGTACACTGAGAGTGATAAAACAACTAACTAGCCAGGTGAACTTTACTGAGTGGATCTGAACATTCATGGACTATTGGCTCACTGTACACTGAGAGTGATAAAACAACTAACTAGCCAGGTGAACTTTACTGAACAAATCTGAACATTCATGGACCATTAGCTCACTGTACACTGAGAGTGATAAAACAACTAACTAGCCCGCCAGGTGAACTTTACTAAGTGGATCTGAACATCCATGGACCATTGGCTCACTATAAACTGAGAGTGATAAAACAACCAACTAGCCAGGTGAACTTTACTGAGTGGATCTGAACATTCATGGACCATTGGCTCACTATAAACTGAGAGTGATAAAACAACCAACTAGCCAGGTGAACTTTACTGAGTGGATCTGAACATTCATGGACCATTGGCTCACTATACACTGAGAGTGATAAAACAACTAACTAGCCAGGTGAACTTCACTGAACAGATCTGAACATTCATGGACCATTGGCTCACTGTACACTGAGAGTGATAAAACAACTAACTAGCCAGGTGAACTTTACTGAGTGGATCTGAACATTCATGGACCATTGGCTCACTGTACACTGAGAGTGATAAAACAACTAACTTGCCTGCCAAGTGAACTTTACTGAGTGGATCTGAACATTCATGGACCATTGGCTCACTGTACACTGAGAGTGATGAAACAACTAACTTGCCCGCCAAGTGAACTTTACTGAGTGGATCTGAACATGCATGGACCATTAGCTCACTGTACACTGAGAGTGATGAAACAACTAATGTCAAGATAGCATCACATGAGTAACGGCCATTGGGCTGTGAGATGCCTTTACATATTCTAGGTCATGACATGTAAGGTTGAGTGACCAACTGCCGCCTTTTCTTCCCAGAATACTCCATGAACATTCACAAAATTGTCTGGTACACATTTTTGTTAAAGGATTGGAGCCACCTCAGACTGCAGTGATTAGGAAAAAATAATACAAATCTGCCCTGGGTTGGCTTCGAAATCAGACAATGCCTCTGCAGCTTCTATGAACACTATAGGTTATACTGTCTTCATCATCCCCATGTTCACTTGCTGTAAACTCTAACAGAAAGTACTGGTTGTTTGTCCACTTCTGGATTTTGGCCTGTCTACATGTCTTGAGTGCTGCATGTATATATATATATATTTTTTTAAACAGATCTGGCCTATTTGTATGCTGGTATTTTTGTATGTTGGTTTCTCACCTCTCGAACAGATGCAGTTAAACTCTGAAAACAACAAATTTAATTAGTCATCTTTCACATCATGGTTATTTCTGGTAATCTGGTAATCTTAGTTTCAGCTTCATAGCAAAACGGGTCACCCCATAGTTGCTCCGCTCTTGTGCCAACGAAAAACACACATAGCTCACAGTGTCACGCCATGCACTCAACTCAGAAGCTGGGTGACGAAACTATATCCTTCCAGTCTACAAATTGAGCAAAAATGCAACAGCCACCGTCTGGCAGAAAAAAAAAAGGCCGTGCCTAGCGTCCATTTTGACCTGAAGCATTATATGAGGGTAATAAACGGTCACCCCAGCAGTACCCTCATTATTAGCTGGGAAAGGGACTTAGGACATTCCATCCACCAGCAAGCGTCGCCACTACAACGACATGCCTGCCTTTGTTAACGACTGTTCACCCAACAGCCATGCAGTTCTTTGGCATGAAGGAGACACCTTGAACTTGGGTTTCGGACTGCCGACTCCCTAAAAGATGTTATTTTATGTTTTGTTATCACACTTGATGTCACTGCACACTGGGCATGCCCATGCGGGCTCAGTTCTCCGAAGCAGCAGCTACTCCAAAGTACTTCTACATGGTTATTAAGGAGACAGTGGCCTATTCTTGTTTACCCTCAACCTGAGACCCCGAACATTACTGTCTGAAAGAGC